AAAAATCGATTTTGGAAATCTGTTGGGGCGTACATGTAGTTGAGATAAGGTTAGTCGAAGGAATAGGAGGTGATAGTTTGTGTAAAAATAGGTCAGAATAGTAGGATAAATTTTTTTCATTCGAAGCATAATTTTCTGAAAAATCGAGTTTGAAAATCCGTGGGGCGTACATGTAGTTGAGATAAGATTCGTCGAACGGTTAGGTGATTCTTTACGCAAAAATAGACTGAAAGTACAGAATAAAGTTCTTCCATCCGAACTATAGTTTTCGAGGAAATCAATTTTGAAAATCCGTGGGGCGTACAACCGCCGAATTGTACATGTAGTTGAGACAAGGTTCGTTGAACTGATTGGAAGTGACAGTTCGTGTAAAAGTAGGTTAAAAATGTAGAATAAAGTTATTCCATTCGAAGCATAGTTTTTTAAAAAATCGATTTTGAAAATCCGTGGTGTGTATGCACTGAAATGTACATTCAGTTGAAATAAAATTCATCGAGCAGACTGGACATGATACTTCGTGTAAAAATAGATTGAAAATGTGGAATACTATTTTTTCATCCAAGGCTTGGTTTTTGGAAAAATCTATTTAAAAATTCTGTGGGGTGTGCATACGCTTATAGGTATAGCTAAGATAAGGTCTCTCGAGTCACACTGTATTTGTATACAATATTTTTCACAAGTTGTTAAGTTCAAGGATATACGTACAAAGAAAAAATTTATCGTCGATACTTTATTTTATCGATTAAGTATCTTAATCGCATAAATGCACAGTGCACACATACGAATTCTCAGAATCGATTTTCTTGAAAACTAATTAAACTAATTAAAGAAATTTATTCTAGACTTCTAACATACTTTTGCAGAAGAAATCATCTCTTGTTCACTTCCTATTCGACCGCACCCTGTAGACATATATAGGGTGGTCCGTAAATCAGGCCCTATATTTCACCTACTTTTGATAATTTATATAAAAAATATTTCAAAATGTTTTATTTATTACATTTGATTTATTGGTATCGAACGAAGAATTTATTAATGTAAAAAATTAATTGAAAACATTTTTTTTTGTACCAAAAATTGGAACCAACCTATATTCTTTAACTAGCAGCAAACATTGTTTTTTAATATTTTTGAACTCTGCAGAAAACGAAATTCGATAACGTAAAAGCGTGTACCACTTTAATTATCTGATTCTAAAATAATGTAATTTGTGTCTGAAGTACAATCCACGCCAATGCATGACGTTGATGCCAACTCAAACGCAAACGTAAACAAGAATACACTCTAGGTAATACAAATAACTGAAGACTAAATGTTACGAAGGTCATAAAAGTAATCAGAGTAAGTGTTCAAACTGCATTCCACCTTCTGCAACGTAAAGTACTTCATGTACGACCGACCAACTAAAATATATTTCAAAACCAAATTGAATTATTTTAGACAGATAATTAAAACGATAAACGATAAACTTACTAAATTCATTTTTATCTACAACTTGAGAAATCTAAAAGAAAAATTATATATAATACATGATACTCCTTCAAAAAGTACAAAATATAAAAAACTATAGTTTTTTTACAAAGAATTAAACAATTTTTTATATCCATTTTTCAATAAATATCAACAAGTTTTCACTTGAAACATATTTCTATTTAGCAGAAGGAACTCAAGTGTCATAGCGACTACTTTGTGCACCACCCTGTATATATACTATCCGTTAACATGGACAAAATTAAACCGTGGACGTGAAACTTTGTAACCCGACAGTCTACTCAAATCTGCCAGTTTCGAAAAGTTGAACGATTGTGTCTCTACAGTCGTGACCAACTGTGGGTATACAGTATACAGAGTTGCCAGTGATTATACCCAGCCTGCACCAGCCTTTAAACGCCCGAAGAGAGGGAAGTTTGAACGCGCGGCTAATCTTACGCGGTCGATGATGTTTGCCGAATGATTATTTGATGCCATGATTCTGTATTACAACCGCACGTATACACGCGAATCTTCAACGATTCAATGCTGAGCCTCTCGAAGTGATTAGCACTAGCCATACCACAGCTCAAATAAGCATTCCCAAATTTTGTATTATATTGTAATATATTGTATTACAATATACAACATTGAATTCGCTATTAGCTGATAACTTGACTTTCCATTTTTTTTTTAATAACAAAATTTGTATTAAAAAACTTTTTATTAAAAAAAATACGTGTATTGAAAATACGTATGAATTTTTCAATATCTTTTGTTTCATTTTTTTCTCTAAATTTTTCATTTTCCCGTTTACAGGTCTTTTGACCGGTCGTGATAGGTTAGTGTCAATCGATCGACAAAATTGCGCTGTGATGAAATTGTTTATATTAAAAAATTGTGAAATATATTGAGATTTCTGAACAATTTTGTAACAATTTTAAAAATTCCTTGAAGTGTGGCTTCTATGTTATCGTTCGAGTAACTGTGAGAGAAAAATAAATTATACCTGTCTTAATGATCCAACGACCTCCATGTTAATGCCTTTTGCTGATTATTTTATGGGACAATAGAATTTTTGACACTTTACAAACTCCAATATGGTATATGAAAAATAATATTGCTGAAGATATCGCTCCGAGTTAGCTGAAAGTGTTAATTTTGTAATTTTATTTCGTATTCAAAAAAGTAAAAATTTTTTAAGAATATTAACGTCTATATATATATTGAAAAATTGTCGAAAGTAATTGAATTTATTAATTTCCATTTTTCTATTACATTTTTGCTTCCATTTTGTTTGCAAACTGAATGAAAAAGATTTTGAAAATATTAATATTAAAACCATATAAATAAATTATTGAATTTATTATTTTTTATTTTTATACATTTTTATTAATTCAAAATTGTAAATAATTAGAAAAGTATAGAAAAATCGATTAGTATTTATTATAATATGTACTAGAAAACTAAATTTAAATATTGTAATTTTGCTCATTTTTTTGAATATATTATATTAAACTATTATACAAATAATTATATATATCAAACTATAGAAATAAAATATTTCTATTTTAAGAAAAATTGTAAAAAGTTGAGGTAAAAAAAAATCATGACTTGGATTTTAAAAAAAGAAGTCACATTAATAGAAAAATATTCATCTTACAGAAATGTATAGTAACTCAAAATATTGAAAAATTCAATTTTAAGAGGAAACTAGATTTAAATTCACACGGATATTTACAACAATCAAATATGTATAAAAAATAAAATATTTCAATAATAAATCAATTAATAGTTAAAATATCGCTATATTAACTACGCAGAAAATCTTGTGCTCTTGGATTTGGTTTATAGTCATGAAAACTCGCTAACCTGATATACTAAATACCATGCATTAAACAATGCATTTAAGCAATAAAGATCAACATGCGGAAAAGCATTTTAAGTGTTCCTCGACTGTATCTTTACTTTAATCTGTAAAATACAAATACAAAATATGCGTTATTTTATAAAGAAAATATTAATTCACTCATATGTGGAAATGCACCAAATACATATAATGCAAACCAATTATTGAACGTGGATCGCATCATTCTAGTGGAGAATTATATATATAAAGACATAATATTACACATATACTTAATTTCGGTAAAATTTTATAAATCCCATTTTCGTTTCCAAAAATAGTACAACAACGTGTAAGGTCAATGTGTGATTTTATTATTTCGATACGTATGTGTTATATAGACGCTGAAATAAGTATAGTATGTCTTTTCTACCGCAGCGCCATCTACGATATGAATTTCTCGCGTAACTCAGGAATATACGATATACTCAAAAAGTTACAAAATCTCAATTATTTTGTCAGATTACTTAAGACTGAATTTATCGCACAATTAAAAATTACACTTACAATGAAAAATGGATAAGATATACGAGTACACGTAAGATCAGCACGTACCTCTCGATAACTGTACTAATTTTAGAAACGGTTCTCCTCCTGTCTATCGTGAAACCATTGGTTCACTGATAGCATGGATAACTGGTAAGACACCGCATCGAATTAATTTCCACTGTCGTAAAAAAATTCTCTTACAACACTCGCTTCCTGCTAATCTCGTAATTTCATTAACGCATACAACTTTGTAGCGTGAAAGGAGAACGTTATAAAAATCATATCCACGATAATTTCTTGTATGGGAAAATCGATTTGCTCAATCGGCAACCCACAAAGCAGCGATAATAATAAAACGGCTTTTAATATCTTGGCAATTTTCTAAAAACGTCTCTTTACATGCAGCCAAGCTCAAGAAATCTGTGCGTGATCGTGAGCAAGTACGCGTACAATGGCAGCAACGTTAAGCAACGCGAGATAACCTATAAGGCTCGCGACGAAACTTTGAAAACGAGCGAGAATAATGTTTCCGTTTCTTAATCAACGACACTGTATCAACGCGTTAAGAGAAACGAAGGAAAACGGAACGCGGACGTAGGAAAAAAATATAAAAGTTGGGAAGATTTTGAAAAACGCGCGTATAATAGTCGACCGGTGGTAAAGCTCGAGAGTATCGTGTAGCGACTATGGTCGAGAGCTGTCAAGCGCACGCCGACTAGACTGGGTCAACTACACTCGTGCTCTCCGATCGGTGGTCGATCTTAGGCAGAACAGAAACGGTGATCCAGCCGAGGGGCATGACATTTGAGAGAAGCGTGAATGAAGCGAAGGAACGCGGTGAACGCGAACGTATCGACGGTGAAAATAAAATGACGGAACACCCGATGATTCGAACGCGACGGTACGGCAGCCACGGGTCGAAACAAGACAGAGAGAACAGACCGGAACGGAACGGAACGGCACTGCACGGCACCGCATGGCGTAGCTATCGTTCGAAAGAGAACGCACGGAATACCGAACATAGAGCATCGAAGTACCGAAATATAGATGGTACAACAGTTTGCTCGCAGCAGAGAGGCAAAAATGACAGAGAGTGTTTGGAAAAACGTTGATAGATGAATGATTTTAAACTCACCCAAAAGTAGCAGCTTAAGTTCCCGCCTGGCATCTCGTTTATCCTTTCGGAGTTGCCGCTCGATCTCCTGATTGATTCGTTTCTGCTCCCTCGCCTCTTCCGACAGGCAGCACGCCATAGCTCAGGACGGCAGGATCCTCGACGGATAGAGGAGGAAGAGAGGAGAAAAATGAGGAGGAAGAGGACGAGGAGAAGGAGGAAAAGGAGGAGGAGGGAGGAGAGGGAGGGAGGAAGGGAGAGAGGGAAGAAGCGATTTGCGGTGGTGACGAGCGATTGCCGAGCGGCGAGGTTCGTCGTAGACAGCAGCGGGCTCGACGGCACGGTATCGTCGTCGGGCCGATATTACCTTGCCACCGCGAACGAGCGACGACGTCTCGTCGCCGTCCTCGTGGTTTCCTTCTCTTCTTCCTTCCCTCTCGTCCTGGCTAAGCCGATGAAACTCTTCCCGATCGTCTGCACCACCACTATCGCCACTAGCACGATTCACCACCACTTGTCCGCGGCGACGACGACGGCAACGTGCACGAGGACTAGAACGACGACGATGTAGACGGAAACGTAGACCTGACAGACGCGTCTCCGAAATCCCCGTACTCTCAACGACGTCGGCACACGCGGCGACGGAGCACTCCTGGCAGGGCTCGACGACGCCAGCGACACATCAACACATGTACGCACACGCACAAACCTCGGCCGGTAGCTTGTATCTGCCCTCTCGTCTCTTCTCTTTTTCTTTTCCAACCTTCTTCCTCGGTTTCCTCCGGCTGTGCCCGTCTACTTCTTCCTAAATTTTTTTTACTTTTTCAGCCCTTTTCTTCCCTCTTTCTTATTCTTTATTCATGCACGCACGTTCTGCGACGAAACGTGAAACGCACTCGCGAGAGACGTCGAGGAAGCGGGGGAGACACGCGCGCACACGTTTAGCCTTTGCTCGCGGCGCGATTTCCACGATTCTGCTGAGAGACAAATTTCGCGAGAGCGAGGTCCGTTGGATCGAGATCTAGAGAGTCCCGACTGTACTCCGTCGAATCTCGACCGTCGGTCCCTGGGTCCCCCGCTGTACCCGCGTACTACTCGCGAGAGAGCTCTCGTACGGCTCGTTCACTCGTTCACTCGGTCCCCGGCGCGGTTGGGTGTGGTAACCCACCGGCGCTCTATCTCCTTCTCTCTCCGCTGCTCTCTGTCTCTCCCTTACATCTCTCTCTTTCTTTCCCTCTTTCTCTCTGTCTCTCTTACTTTTTCTTCCTCTCTCTCACTCACTCACTCTCTCTCTCTCTGTCTCTCTCGCTCTTTCTCTCTTTAGGGTACTCTTTCTGTACCGCACACGCGACGAGATAGATTCACACTGAATATGCACCGTGTGCGCACACACGCAACCTATACGCGAACGTATGCCAAACGACGATTGCGATTACGAGGTAACGTAGACGGAACAACGAACCGAGGACGACAGAATACAAGACGATGACGAGGTCGTCTGCTGTTATTGCCGTTGCTGCACGAGCGCCCACACCTCGAGCGGAGCAACTCCTCCTGCGATTCGCGCCGCGCCCGCTCGGTACGCAGCCTTTTATCAACCCTAGGTCGCTCGAGAATCCTGTTAGACCAAACCAGATTGGCGAAGCCCCGACACGGTAGGTCGTTGTATAGTGGTCTGTAGGCGCGGGGGCGCGCACGTGTCCGCTAACGAGATTAAAATCGGCGAGAAGGAGGAGGTGCGGCCGCCACCCGCCGGGGAGGAGGCACGGAGAATGTAACAGCGCCGCGGCGTTTCAGATATAGGTTATACTCGTCTCTGTACAACCGACCGATTCTGACGGTTCGCAGCGACACGACCACCGTCGCTGCTCGCTCCAAGAGATCACGCGCGCACTCTCTTACTCTGTCTCTGTCGTCTTCCCTCTTTATCACACCGTCTTTCTTCCTTCTCTATTACCGGGTCACCCCCGATTACCCTAGCTTTCGATATTTCTTTCTTTCCCGCGTGTATTTCACCTCTATTCTTACTCTTTCGTTTTTTCACACCGGTTTCTTTCTTCTCATGGGCACGTTTGATACAAACGTTGCGATTTTCCATCGATTCGCTTCCGTCATCGAAATGTACTTTCTTGAAATAACGTCCGAGTAGCTCGTGTGAATGCACTTTGTACACCGAACGATACGTGTCAATTAGTAACTACTGAAAATGTAACGCTGAAATTACTGTGGAATCGATCATGGATTAACGTTTGCCCGATAGCCGCGTCATTTTTATGAAGCCAGTTTCATTTCCGTAATTTAAAAATTTCTATCGATAATTTTATTATGTAAAATATAAGTTGATTCCTATACGTATTTACTTTTGTAATGCAATTTAGAAATTTGTACTTATACCCAAGCATTTACTATAAATAAATTTTAGAACTAGTTATTTTTATTATAAGCTAGTTAATGTGTATATTTTTTTTGTATACAATATATATAATATATTGTCAATAAAAATAGGAAACTTGAATATTATTAATATTATTAATAAAAAAGTAATGCAAATTATACCTACTAAATCTGAATAATTAGATTATTTTTCTACAAGTTACGTATAAAATAAATTATAAATTTATTTCACTGAGTATTTAGAATTTTTTCATTTTTAACAGGAGATACATATTTTGGTTATTGGAATGTCTATTTCCTAAGTTTATATTTGAAACTGCGAAAGTAATGAAATATGTAAGTATAATACACATACGAGTTAACTTTAAAATATAAAGCTGTGTAAAATATAAAGCTTTTAATTTTTATAACGATTTTAAATCATAATGAAATTATAAAATAGTTTCATTATGTTACTCTGTATAATCGAGTAACAGGTTAATTTTTTATACAATCGTACTAAATTTGGTTAAAAAGTCTTTTATTTTTAGTATTTATTATAGGTTTTTATTTAAATAACCTTAAAGTAAGTTAGTTAACGTTAGATGGCGTACTAGATACTATTTGGCTCGAAATATAAATTTGATGGATTTTAAATAATAAATTATTTTGTTTTATAAACAAAATAATGACTTTTTATGTTTTATTATATTTTACTTAGTTATTAGCTAATTAAGGTACATAACTTTATTCTATATTTTTCTTTGCATCTCTTACTTACAATGAGTTAAGAGATTTTTTAATTTTTGTTACTAACATTCGTTATATGAATAAAATAAAACTAAATTATTAAAAAAATGTTTTCTGTTTAGAAAATACTATTAATTATTAAACATAATTTAATTTATAAATAGTATATTTTTACAACTCATATATTTCATTTACAGTATACACTTTAAAAGCATTAAATAATTTCTATGTATTACAGTTTTGTTTGCACAAATTTGGAAACAAAACTGTTGTTACAGATTAAAGATAATTATACTTTTTTAATTTTTGATATTTGAGTTAGATATGATTACAAACATTTTTCACACTAAATTTAAATAATTTCAAAACTATGAAATAGTTGGGAAATACAAATAGAAATACATGCAATACAAAACAATAATGAAGTGATTAGAATCTATTTTTATAATATAGACTTCAATGACATGGTTAAACCTTGACATCATTTAGTAACAGGATTAGTGTCATAATATAAGGTTTCATGAAATGTATAATTTGTGTTCACTGCATTTCTTAGTTTGAAAACTAAAGCCAGTAAAGACAACACCAATGCCATCTATTTTCTTCTTTATTTATCATCGACATGATTTATTTTACAATTTTGGCATAATTTAAGTTTAGGTGAATCTTCAACATGAGAAATTTTCTCTATTAAGAAAAAAAAAGAAAATTATGATAAATATAAGTATGGTACTATATTTTTAATGTATCTCTATTACCTGTATTTGTATCTTTTACACAAAGTTTTTCACCAATTAATTTAAATAATAATACAACTTCATTATTATCATCTTCGTTGCTACAAAATTGTTTAACTGTTTCAAAACCTTTACAAAGTGCTACTAAATGCCTGCAACATTGAGATTAATCGATTATAATTTTTATAATTTTTAGAGGTATGTAGATAAATTATTCACTCTTGTTTATGTCATACATATTTATCACTTTCCATAATTCCAAGTTTAATATACATCTACTTTGTTGGTAATTATTTAAAATAGCATCGTATTGTTGATGTAGTTTCTCTATTTGCAGTACATTTAATGTAAAATTAGTAAGAAAGTTTCTGAAATTTCTTGTTGCTGTACAAAAGTCTTTTTTCCTAATGCAGTGATCATTTATCAATTCATTTAAATGTTTTGGAAATGCTACATGCTTTAAACAATGTTCCATTAGGTCTTGTAAGATTATTAATTTATTTTCTTTTTGTATCTCCAACTATTACATATCACACATTAATTGTTAATAAATTGTATATACTGAATTATATAAATAATTAATTAAACAGTGTTTAGAAATATGTAGTAGTAGGTGTATAGTAATTGTAAATACATAATTAATATGAATTGCAAGAAAAGTAAAAGTTATTCTTGAAATTTTATTAATTGGTTAATCATATACAAATTACGGTTATAATTTTCAATCTTCTATTTATATATGTGTGATAAATAAAATAAACATTATACCTGTTGGAGATGCATTGTCAAATGCATGAAATCAAGTTTGGAATTTATGGAATAAAGTTGCAGAAGTAAGAGTAAATGACTAATATTGAGCACTCTACATACAGCTAATTTAGATACTTGCAAAGATTGTGCATAATTAGAAAGTGCTTCGAGAGCTGTAATACTTAAATTTAAATGTTGTATTAAAGCTGTTTATTTATCTTCTGCTAGAGCTTCTTCGATTTGAATTCCTGTTACGTATAATTCTAAATTTTCCCTTATTTTTTCAGATTCTTGACATTTTAAACAATTTAATTTCTGTAAATAACAGATATCAATATACAGTTATAGGCTTTTTTGTTGCATCTTATTGTTAAAATATATGTATTAAAATACTGCCTTAACATTTTGTGATTTATAAAAATTTAAGGACTTTATTCTTCCATCACACTGTTCATTACACAAATAGAACTTTGATGAAAGGTTTTTAAAGGGTACATATTGTTGCGTTACTGAAAGTAGAGGTAACGACAATCGTTGTGGATACAAAGGTGTTTCCTCTTCTGACGTTGGTGTGCAATAGAAACAAGTCTTATGTAAATTAGAATCACTCTATCGTTTATATTTCTGTTCACGAAGTCTTGACATTTTCTAGCTTCTTTAAATTTCTGTTCTAGTTATATACTTAATTTTAATTTTTATCACTCAAATGCCACAATCTACGTATATTACGAAATCACTTATTAAAAAATATAATATCATATAATTATATTTTTATGTACACGGTTCTAATTGTGAAATTTTTTTGTTACGAAATTCCTTGTTTACTATTATTATTATTTCATAAAAGAATTTTTAACGGATTAATATAAGGAAGGTATACTTTCAGGTTCATTATTAAACAGAACACATTTAAATCATAAACACTTATGTTACAAACCAGTAATTGTTTATTATAATCGTCTTCAATTGAAAAGGACAATTAAAGCGATAAATGTATATACGTATTATAGTTTATATTCAGGTTATGAAGATATGACTAATTGTTTCGGTAAAATAAACAACAAGACATAAAAATGACAAATGATATAACAATTGATTGCTCCACTGTTACACTAAATTTTAGACCTCAGTAATTTTACTTGAGTGTATTCAAATTCTACTCATTATCAACTGTTGCTTGTATGTTACATTAATAAATAAATACAACATAAAGAAGACAAGTAGATATGGTTATTATTTTTCACATATATTTTGTTATGTTACTAATTATAGTTTATATGTTCTTTGTAATACTGCCTTATTTTCTATGCATATATTAACACAGTGTATTAAGTGCAACTATTTTATGATATGATATTTTAATTATAGTTTGTATCATATTATGTAGAATATTGCTATCAAATTTGTGATATACATTAATTTATTTAAAAGTAAAAAATGGCAATATATTTACCACTTATCTTCTTTAAGTTAATTAAATGCATTTGTTTAATTTCCTGATGAATTGAATAACTTGTCATATTAATAATGTTAATAGATCTACAGCCAAACAAATTAGTATTATTTGTATTATTGTTGAATCATATATAACTTAAAATCTGTTTTGTAAAGATTTGTGTTGTCAATATTTATAACTTTTCTAAGTGATATTAAAATTTGAGTTTAGTTTTAATCTAATAATAGTATAAACATCACATTTTTGATATACAGAGTACTGTATCATTTTGGCACATTTTTTTATATACATTGATGATATTTGTTTTCTAATTATTGCAAAATATAATATACAAAAGAATGAAATAGAATAATTTAAATTTTATATAAACGTGTTTCATACTTCACTTTTAGGTTATATAAATATTAAATATATTATAATAATCATATATAATAAACTTGAAAATATAACAAATTACATAGATTATTAAATTTCATAACTAATTATTGAAAATTTTTGAGTAAATATTTATTTATTTGCAATTCAGTGGAATGTACTTGTGTACTTATTCAAATTATATAATAACTGTAATGATAATATTAAAGTGAAGCATGATGTGTTGTATTATAATGTTATAGTTATCAATTCTTTATATACTTAATTTTCCATGTTCTTGATATGAATTGGAAATTCATATGGAATTTCCGTATGAATTACTAGACTCTAGTTAATTAAAAAAAAAACAGAGATACTATTGGTTTTATTATCATTATTTAAATATTTTTGTTTTTTTTTTGTTGTTTTTTGATTACTTTTTTTATTGGTCCACTTTATAGAATATAAATATAAGTCTGTTTACTATCATTATTATTACTATAAGTATGTAATTGTAACATATAGTCAACATATTTTCTTAAGATGCACTTGTAATGTGTCATACATGAACATATTTACTTCAATTATATTTTCAATTTGTACATGGGGTTAATAATTAGTGTGACAATGGATCAATCGTTCAACCATAAAACTTTTCATTTATAAACAATCCAACTTTCCTACATTCTGTATGTCTCAGATCAATACAATAAAATAAAAGGACACACAACTTAGTGGAAGCTGAATTCAGTAGTCACCATGTACTACTTCGTAATTATTAATTGTAACACTATTTGTTACATAAAGTTTCATGTAAAATTTTCTTAATAAATCTATTTAACGAGTATTAATTAGCACTACAAATTTTTTTGCTTGGACCACCGGTTGATACTAATTCTATTTTTCCTACAGTGCATATAAGGGCAGTAATAGTAATTTTATTAATTACCGCCATTCGATTTTTTGTACACTTGTACCGAGAAAATACTTAACCACTGAAGAAATATATGTATATATATATGTGTGTATAGAATATAAGAAAATATAAATAAAATTTGGAAAACGAATCTTCAAATACATATAATTGGTAGAACATATAATACTCTTGTCAATAGAATTATATAGAAAATTCTGTTATTCTAACGCTCTCATTATTTTTATATTATAGCGATGTATTGAAGTAGGGATGTATTAGTTGTATTATTTCGTTATATGCTACTGAACTGCTTTGAAAGTTTGGCATGTTATCTATGTTAATATCCTTATTTGGATCTAGTCCTAATTCTTTTTCACAAAGTAAATAAAATCTTAATTTAAGGATACAGATAGATAATTGGGTTTTTAAGGTCTGATAACTCCCTGCCAAAAGAGGGCATTATAGAGATGTCTTAACCATTACATTAGTTCTTACTGATAATTTCAGTGGCCACAAAGTTATTCCATAAAATATTCTTAAAATGTATAATTCTATGTACAATTTCATAAAATAATATTAATTTAATATATAAGTTTTATATTATAGTATTGCATGATGTAGTACAATATATTATTTAATTACTTAAATATTTCATTTGATTATTAATGATGTGTATTCGTACATTGGATATGGAAGAATAATCCCATATTACAAACAATGAATGTTGGCACAGACAGTGGCTGGGTTAAGGCACTTTGGGGTGCTTAATTTTCCACAGTACCCTCCAGCATAACTATCTTCTCATCACACCCCTTTTCCCTTCCCATTGCCCCTCATTGTGTATTTATTATTTATCTCTTTTAAACATATAATACCTCAGATGACTGCATGACTCTCACTTTTAATATTGTAACTATTCTTAAAATAGAATACGCCGTTTCAGTGAGCATTGGAGTGTAATAGACAAATTTAGTAAAGCTTTCACAGCGGTTTTGTGAAATTTGCTGGGAACATACCCTTTTCATTCGTACCTTCCTTGATACCCATTAACCAACCTTGTTCCTAGGATAATAAAATATTTTGTTACATTTGTCACTATTACAATTATTGATAATATATATATATATATCGAAGTATTATAATTATAATATGTTGATTAATATTTATATAAATATTATTATTATATATATAGACATAAAATGGATTATTAAGAAAATACAAACCTGTTCTTCTGGATCATCATACTCTACCACACGAATAATATCACCGACATCAAATGACAATTCGTCCATATCTTCGCGTCTATATTTGTAAGTAGCCTTGACTCTGTACAAAACCCCAGGTGGCAAGTTGTCAGTCGTTGCCCCTAGAGAGAAATTGGTACCATTTTCATATTCCACCTCTAAAATAATTGAATCCGCCTCATTAATCATGGACCTGTGATATAGTTCTATTTAAACTGTAACTTTCATTTATTATGTGCAAATAAAAATTCAATTATTAAAACCTTTAATTGAAATTTTTGATGCATAACTGAAAGTCAGAATTAAACAAATTGTTTCTCATTGTTTCAACAAGACCATGCATAAATGGGCAGGCAGCATACTTCTATTGATAATATAACAGTTTTATGTATACATTTATTACACGGTACATACTTTGAGGTATAATTTGGAAAACTGTTTTATTTTCGTTTCTAGATAAGCTTTAGTACCTTATTTTTAAAATATAGAAGGTAGTACTCTGTAGTACATGTGTGTATTATGTATACAAGTACTAATGTAAGAACAATGACATACTCACTAAAGAATACAAGTACCACTAATTATATAAAATATAGCTGATAAAATTGCTTTAATATATGCATTAATTTTCAATGCTTCGTCATTTATTTAGGAGGTGATATAGTTTTTAACCGAAGGTACATAAAACACTCTCCAAATTGTACTACCGAAATTGCAAACTTAGTGAAAATTAGTTTAGTAATACATTAAAAGAATATTCCTTAGTTACTTTTGTACAAAAACTCTTATCTCGCAAACCAATTTGACAAAATATTTTGGTATATTAAAGTTCATCTTTAGAGGCCTGAATCGCGCAACCGATGACATTTACTCCCACGTCACATACGTACCAACTGGAATATCATACAACTCTTCTACTCGTTTAGAGGCCGTAACTGTGCTTTGTGGAGATGCATCCTGGTTATTGAGAGAATTATCATTGCTGTTAGCATTGCTGTTAGCATTGCCATTTAATTGAGTAGTCGGTGATGTGTTTCTTGCTGGTGGAGCAGAATCATCCACGGCTGTAACACGCAATAAAGCTCACTCAAAACTAAACATTTAGCCACATAATTATGTCTGCAGGAACGTCTTATGTGGCGCAACTACATTACACTCATGCACAAAATATTAGTACACAAACGACTCAAACGCACAAAAGACGCATGTAGACACTATATGCATATTTACCTGGTGAAATGTTATTTTGAGCTGGTTGTGTGTTGATTATTAAACTAAAACAAAGAAAATTTGTTCAAATTAACATAATATATCCAGTATGGAATTACTTACTATTTTAAGTAGTTTACTTACGCAGAATTGGCGTTAGGTGATTTTGGAGACTGTGGTTCGGTATTCTTTTTCAGCGTGTATGATCCTCTTTGACTTTCGTTAGCCAGTTTATCAACGATTGCTTCTAACTCGGAATACACCTAAAATATAAGTGTATAATATTATCCTTCACATTTCACGAATATGATTCTTAATTAATACATAAGAAGATTTAATTAACAAATAAAAATTACTTGATTTCTAAATACATTAGAATATCATTATACAAAATGAATCAAAATATAATACAATAGTTGCTTCTTTACACTGAGCAAAATGCACAACATCATTACACATAGAAATGAATAAAATAAGTAAAAATAAAGTAAAATAAAATTTATTTATATATAAGAACATATCAGGAAAATGTGGCTATTATGTATTATACCTTAGCACTCTCAGTGTGAAACACTTGTTCAGCAGCGAATAACGTTTGCAAATTAGTAACAAGGAAAAGAACACGAGAATCGTACAAGGCAGGTAATTCGTCATGAAGTTCAGAATTAAGTTGTTCATATGTACGCTTAGCCTCCTCCAATAACTCTTTTCCTCGTGAAACTTTAAGTTCGTCCCGTTTTCTTGGATTGCACTGTAGTGATTGGAAATTGTGTCTTTGACTGTCATAATCTACCAGCTTCCGTCCACGTTTGTCAATTTTTTTCTGGAAAAGAAAAAATCATGATTATCTCCATTTTACAATTATATTATTATTTTGCATTATATATAATTATGTTATTGATTACAAATATGTTATTGCTTTACATATATAATAATAAATAAGTACATAATAAGTACATATATATAATAAAAAGTAAGTACAATTGTATAAACTCATATATTATTTAATTACAGTATTTAATAATTTAATATACAGGGTGACTCAATAAGAATGATCACCTGAAATAACTCTTTATCTATTAATTATCTATAGAAAAATGTTTCAAATAAAATTCTTTTTCCGAATTTTGCGATAAATGCGAATGCATTATAATCTTTTTATATTCCATATATTTTTTTGATATTAAGATAACCTTGAGTTTTTTTAATGGCTTCGTACCTTTTTTTCTCATCTATTTCACCGAGATCATTATCCAAGAATTTTTCTTTCATTTTAGGGTTCAAGGTCAATGAAAAATTCACCTTATCAGAAGTTGCCGAGTTTTTTCTTTTTTTATTTGACAGTTACAACACAGTATGAAAAAAATATACGAAGCTATTTAAAAAATTCAAGGTTACTGGATATCTCAAGAAATATGAGGCATAAAGAGTCGAAATCCATTCACCTAATGCGTTCCGATAAATATAGAGAATTTCATTTGAAATATTTTTTCATACAGTCAAGGGATAACGAATTATCTCGCGTGATCAATCTCATTGATTCCCTCTGTATATTAGCATAATATAGAAGAAGTACAATAATATTACACAAGCACAAATTGTACAATATAAATTTATTTTAGAAATCGTTTTGAGATTTAATTTAAGCAAGACAATAGATAATTTTATCTATTATCTATTAACACGTTGACTGCCAGGGGGGTCATCAGTGTCCAGCGATACTAATTTATTTTAGTCTAACCATTTTTTGAAAATTTGAACAAAGTAAATAAATAGAAAACTTTGAATAGAAAACATTAATAATTTGCATCACTTTCTTCTGCTATATTGTTTGATACATTATTATATCGTTAGAATAATGGAAATTTTAACGTGGCCCCCTGACAGTACCATACAAAAGTTGCGTTAACGAAAAGTTAGAATGGTAACTTTTTAAGTAACTAATATCAGAAGATGTACCCTCATCTCTGGAAATTGGCTTTGATATGTGTTGAGAGGCACGAGAACTTGATCCGCGAGCTTATGAGTGAAATCTTGCCACAACATGTCCAGATTTTGAGCCTGCACGTAGAGAAGATCATGGCCGGTCCATTGGCTTTCGTAGATCTCGTTTAGGGAATCCATGAGTGTTTTCGACGCTGCTTGTACTGCTGCAAACACAGAAATAGAAAAATCTTGTGAATATTACGTTAATGATACTTTTTACAACGATACAATATAAATTATGTTATATAAATTATATTATTTTTCTTTTTTATTAAATATAAATATATATATTATTATTCCTCTTTTTAATTGTTTTTAATTGTCACTTATTTCATGTTAACAATTAACAACTAACAACCAACACTGGTAAATACGAACATGAGTAGCAATTTAAGAAAAAATTTAGAAATCTAAAACTAAGTATGGAAGGTATAGTGAAAGACTTATTTAATAAAAAAGTGTGAAAGATATTCAATGTATATGTTAGGAGTCCTTCAACAACGAAATAGCTTCTTGCAACAGTTCTTAAGTTTTCTGCTCCAAATAGAAACATTACACCGTTCACATTCTTTGCCTTTTTTCATAAAATTACTCTACCGGATCCTTTAACGAAGTAACGATCTTGATCCCATCTTATCAAATTTAAACGCAATTTAGTGGCTTCGATACTGAAGCTAGCACAGTTATTTATTACCATATAATTATTGTATCATGTACAATTATTATTAATTACTAATAATTATTACTATTGACTATAGTAATGGGTGTCCCAAAATTCACGCAAGATTTCAATTTGGCGCCATTTTGGTGATAGGACAGTTCAGGGTTGTTAAAAATGGAGCGCCACACGAATGAACAACGCATTTTCATTGTTGAGCAATATTTACAATTTTTAATTAAAAATCTGTGTTTTCTTTGTGAATTTTAGGACACCCAATATTATTATTAATTGCTAATAATTGTTACTATTGACAATCATAATTATTATTAGTTTATCAATAATATAATGATATCTACGTATACACAAAACTAGTAGCAGTCATATTCGAATTGGTGTTATTAAACCAGTATTTAGTGCGAATACAGGAAAATTGAAGTAACTGAGATAATTTAATATTGAAAACCGGTATACAGTTAAAATAAATAGGAAAAATTCAACGAGGACGAATATTATCGCCCACTGACTGAACACGTATCTGCGATTTATTACAAAACATAAAAAGAACGAGTTACAACTTCCAGTGGAAATTATAATTATTTCAGTACATTGTAATATTCTTATTATATGTAATATGTTTCTTTTACACTATATCTTTGTATGTCCATTTACACCGATCGAAAAAACATTATTTCTTCGAAAGAAATTTCGAAATGTAAAAGAAATTCTTAATTAATTATATTTATAAAATTCAAAACCTGAAAAATGGTGAGAAATTGTTGATAAGAGGAACTGCTTTTGTTAACTGACATTTTACTAATTTCTGAATACAATGTTCGTACCTATATTTTCTCTGTATTAAATTTCTTCATAGCTACAATGTGTCAACAATGTTTTCAGTTCCGATAGTACTGCAGCTGAAGAGGTAACCTTAATGTTATTGCAATAATAAAAAATATTATAAAAAATATTATAATAATATTATTGTAATATTAAAAAATAATATAAAATGTTCTTGTTATATTAAACATAGTAATATCGTTATCTAAATAGTGTATAATCATTGTATTAAAAGTATGACATAGTTAGGATCTAACGTTCAAAGTCGATGGAGAAATTTTTCTACACGGATAGTATCACGTCGAAGGCAAGTCTCATCTGAAGTCTCCAACAGCTGCACGAAACAATATATCTATATAGTGGCTCGTGTAAAAACGTTTAGAAGATTGGGGTTCTGTTTACATAAGGACACCAAAAGTTCGATGTCTTTTAAACGTGACGTACAATCGCGTGATACCGGGTTTGTTATTCGAAGTAACGTCAAGGTTGCATTGCATGCGATCGCTGAATTCCTTTTACTTTTTTATTTGAGTCGTAGGATACCAGGAGTCGTTGGGAACTCTTAATTAAACGGATAGGCGTGACCAAAACAAATACCAAAAACACGTGACTGAAAGTTCCTTTATACCGATTTCTCACTTTCCCGGGAAGCAAGAATGTCATTTTTTTTCAAACGTGTAATTAAGGATAATTACTTTATTAACCCACTTCCCCTTACAAGCCGCATTCACTTATCGAGATACGACAATCTTGTAACGAAGAATTCAAATAGACACATAACCTATAAAAGAACGTTAACCACTGAGGTAAAGTCTGTGTAGATATTCAGAATTTTTATTTTCAACTTCGACTCGTGATTTCTTTTGATATATGTATTATAGCTATATATTTTTTTATTTAAATTATTAATTTTTCTAAGTACTTCAATGAAATTTGTATTATTTTATTAAAGTTACGTAGTAATATTTGTTTGTATCGGTTGTAGCTTTCTATTTTAATTTGTGTCATTTAATAATGATGCCATAATTCATGAGTAATAAAATTATGATGCGGATAATTTGCAAGGACAATAAATTATAATTATTTGATAAATGCTTGTTAAATTCAAATAAGATAATCTAAAATATTAATATTCTTCAATGGTAAATAAATAAGTAATTTTAATAAATTGACTGAAAATTATTTTTATTATGTAGGAATATAAATTTAATGTACAAATGACATACTAAAATATCACTAAATATTAGTTTATATTGACGTACGTATTTTTTGTATTAACTTCAAATTTCCATAGGAATATAATATATCCTAAATATCATTAATAAATATCATTAGTCTGTTGTCATACGAAAAAAAAAGAAATATTTATTACATATAATATAAATCTCCCGATAAATCCTGTAAATAAAGGTATATAAATATAAATTGCAAACATAAGAAAAAAATTATCATTGTATTTTCATATGTATTTCCTAATATCCTTCGGAATAATATATCAATATTCTCCCAACGTTATATCTCACGTCATGACACAATACATCTTGGCAAGCAGCAAAATCCAGCAAAAACTGGCAAAAGACCTCTGTATCTCTCGATTAGCATATGCATTCTCAGCATGAAATTCCGCTTCGTGTCAGGCACTGTACAGGTTTTTACGATTCTTTGGCAAGGTAACCAGCAAGTACCGTCGAATTCTCCTAATTCCGCGATACTGACTCTCTATATGCATAGCTTTGTTTCTCTTGCGAGAAACGTTACGCAGCGTGAGTTTCAGGGTCGACAAAATTTGGAAACTTCTCGACGAAGTTCGTTTGATCACCGCGAGGGGGGCTCGGTGGTGGGTTGCTCGAGAACTATTCGATTTATCGCGAAAGTCGAGAGCTCGCGGACGTGCGTATCTATCGACAGGTTTCACGTTGGGCAACCACTGGTACAGCGCATGCGGGTATTTATGTGCGAATGCTGTTACGTGCCGTCTCGACTGATAAAAGGAAAGGTAAAAGGCATCGGCGTAGAAACGGATTTCCGTGGAAAGTTACGAAAGCGGCACGTTCTTGAAAAACGATCGTCGTTTCCTTATTATGATCTGTCAAATATGTCGAAATCTCATTTTCAGAATCTTTTCCCGTCGTATGCTTCGAACACGTGCTTAGGAATATTTTGCACGGTTTAGTTAAAGGCGCCATTAATCACTTTGTCAACTGGAAAAATACGATTCTCGCTCGTGGGTAAAGCGAATGCATTGTTCGTCAGGATTAAGAAGTTTAAGTCGAAAGGATTTAAAGATATATGAAATGTTTTAGAAAACTCAAAAGATTACGTAAATTAAACGTATGGTAAGAATAGTATTATATTAAATGTAAGATAATCCTTTAATTATTTGAATTCAATTTGTTATTATTAATTTCCTAGGACTTCAATCTAACCTATAAATATCTTTGACAATGTTAATTATGTGTTCCAATAAATTTGATATTTTTAAAATTTGGTAATATAAAAGCAATTTCAGAACCATGTACTAGCAGAGGATTTTATGAAGCAACAAAAGAAATATTTTTTTATTTAATAAATATATATTGAGCTCCATTTTTGCAAACCTTCGACAAGTTTCTCTTTCTTTAGTAATAATTATTGAAAAAAAATATTATTAGTGGAAATTATTTCGTATTTTTTGTGAATTCTTTAAATCTTATTACTAAATATTATGAGAGACATATTATTATTAAAAAATATAATTTGATAAATATTTATAACATAAAATGTACTTCTTTCGTTAATACTGAACATTCTTGGTTAATTAATTTCTACTGGTATATAATTATGGCAAAAAACAGTTACTCTGAGGTGGTGATAATATTTCAATTTAATTACAGTGTACTAACAGATCCAATAGTAGATAAACGGACTTAATTATTGACTGGTTTAATTTATGTGTCAAATTAGCATAATATATTTGTATAATTTTGTTGAGAATGACTAATATACATAAACTTAAAAAATGTATGAATTATAATGTTATAGCAACAATTAGTAGAGCCATCAAATGGCAGATAGGTTATGTAATAATATATATAGTTTTAATCTAAAATGTACTGATACGATCATAATAAACATACAGGGTGTACAGTTTTAGTCCATATACACCTACTGTATATTATGATCTACAGATTCCATTTACTATAGAAAAATATTCCATTTTATGTCTCCCTAGAAATCATTAACTGCTTATTCGAACCATTTTCTCGCTCAGTAGGTAATTTTCGAGTAGTTCGTATTTCTCGAGTAAAATTGGACACCCTGTATAAACCAAAATATATTATGTCTGTGAAAGTATTATAGGGTGGCAATAATATAATCATGTGTGACATATATACATTATTTTAACTTTAAAGGGATAGTATTATATATGATACACACTATTCCTAGTGACATGGATTATTATCATATACGATGTACATATATGTACATTGTTACTACTAATAGCAATATCATATACAACATATACTATTCCTATTAATGGGGATAATATTATATACATTCACTATTCTTAGTACAAGGGATACTAACATATAATATATATACATATATAATATATTACTACTAACAGAAATAGACGTACATTATTCTAGGGATAATCTCTGGGGATAGTACTAGGGATATGTCTGC